TAAATATCCAAAAATATAACCATAAGTAAATAAACCAAAGCAAATACTCTGATTAAGTGATGGAAGTGGTGGAACTGCTGCAGAGGAAGGGAGGTGTCTGGGTGAGTGCTGTGGCTGAAGACAAGCGGGACATTCCAGCATCACTCGCAGATTCAGAAGCACTTTCCGCCCCTCTGGGGACAGAGTGTGAGCAGCTGCTGTGGCTCTTGGCTTTGGACCAACTGTCCAGCTTCTCTCAGCATTTGAATTGGAAGAGAGGGATCTGGCCCAAAATCTGCAGACTGGGACATGCCAGTGTTCCAGCAGCCCTGGGTAACTGGGGTTCCCCCCACGACCACGCTGCCAAGACCAGAAGGGCAGTGATGCCAGTCGGTGTGGCCACACGGGGTTGTGGCAAACAATCCCCAAAGCAGGGAAACTGGAAAAGGCACCTGTTCAGAGAGCATGTGGTCAGGTGTCCCACCAGCACGGGGCAGATCCCTGGGACTGTACCTGCCACTGGCAGTACACGGAGAGTCCCAGTGGGATCTCAGGAGAAGAGCAGCAGTGCCCAGTGTGAGCCAGAAGAGGAACAAAAGTCATCAGGGGTTTGGAAAAGGTGGCCAGAAGGAAAGGCTGAAGGATCTGGTGATGTTCAGCACAGAGAAGACCGAGGTACAATGCAGAGGGACTGGATCCTGTGGCCTGCCAAGATCTGTTCCAGCCCATTTTTTGGGATTAATGCAGGCAGTCATGGAAGCAAGGCTTGGCACTCAGGACTGGCCCGGGAGCAGAGGAATGAGGTCTGTCACCCTGAGCACACACCGAGGGAAAGGGCAGTGCAGGGGGCTGGCACAGGGTGGCAGGGTGGGTGACAGCGCGGTGCTGGCAGCGCAGGGAGGTGGCAGTGCTGCCTTCTGGCCAGGAGGTGCCTCCTGTGCTCCACATGAGTGCCGTGCCCGCTGTCACAGCCGCCAGGCCGGCCCGGCTGCTGCTGCTCGCCCTCGGCACAGGGAAGCACTGCCGGCAGGTCAGGGAGGGGATCCTGCCCCTCTGCTCAGCCCTGGGGAGGCACATCTGCAGTGCCGGGTCCACCTCTGGGCTCGGCAGCACAGGAGAGACGTGGAGCTCCTGGAGTGCAGCCAGTAAAGGGTGACAGAGATGCTGAAGGGATGGAGCATCTCTGTGACAGGAAAGGCCGAGGGAGCTGGGACACTGAGGGGACCTCCCCCATGTCCATCAGGGGCTGCAGGGAGGGGGCAGAGGATGGCCCAGGCTCTGCTCGGGGGGGCCCAGCAATGGCACCAGAGGAAGGGGCAGGAACTGATGCCCAGCGAGTTCCACCTGGACATGAGAAGAACTTCCCTGTGCAGTGTCCCAGCCCTGAACAGATTGATCAAAGGGTGTGGAGTCTCCTCACTGCAGATATTCCAGAGGTGTCTAGACACAACTCTATGCCATGTGTTCTGGGATGGCCCTGCTCAAGCAGGGAGGTGGGACCAGATGAGACACTGTGGGCCCTTCCAGCCTCACCATCCTGTGATTCTGTGGTGCTGAACAGGCCCATCCTCCCAGGTTTGGGAGGTTTTGTGAGGCACAGGCTGAGGGATTTGCAGGGGAGCTGCTCCCAGGGCAGCACCAGGAGCTGTGCCCTCACAGCCCCAGCACACACCGTGGGCCGGGGGGAGCTCCCAAATCCCCCAGCCCTGGCCCGAGCTCCCATAGCCACTGTGGCCGTGGGTCAGGAGCACCCCCAGGACAGGGGCAGTCAGGGCACCCCGGCACTCCCTGCTGGGTCACGGGGGGCCGTGGCACGTGGAGCACGGAATGGTCGCTGTCCCCTGCGGGGGCACAGTGCCTGGTTTGGGTTGACAGTCGCTCCGGTGTGTGGGACCCCCCGGCCCCCCGAGCAGAGCCGGGCACGGTGTTCTGTGGTGGAGCCTCGCTGCGCTGGCCACAGAGCACTCCTGGGCCCAGGGACCCTGAGGACACGTGCCTTGGTCCCCGACCCCCGGCCCTGGGCAGAGATTTGGGCTGTGTGACGGGGACAGGAGGCAGGCGCGTCCCCCTCCCCGACGTCTGGGCCCTGCTGACTCACTTCCCTCCCTGGACTTTCCAACAAAGTTAAAAGCGACTGAACTTTGTTTATTATGTTTTTTTCCATCACGTTCCCTTCCTGGGAGAGTCCAATTAGCGCTAACGAGCCGGCTGGTAATTACCGCGCGGCCGCGAGGAGCTCTGAGCGCCGCTGGCCTCGCTGCTGCGGCCGCGCCCCCCCCGCCGCTGCCGGGCCAATTAATGGCTCTGTCACCCTGCTGGTCCCTGGGGACCCGCCGGTCCTGCACCCTGGGGACCTGCCGGCGCTTGGCAGGTGGCTGTCCCCGCACCCCTCGGTCCCTGTGCTGCGCGGAGGGACGCGACGCCAGGTCCCCGCTCCCTCCTTCCAGACGAACCTCCCCCCCGCAATTAACTCCTGTCCCGCGCCCCCAGCCCTGCACGGGGCGGCTGGGACGCCTCTGTCCCCTGGCTGGCTGTCCCCTTTGCAGAGGGGGGTGTTTGCGCCTCGCTGTCCCCCGGTGCCCGCTGTCGCCAGGCAGGGACTCTCCCGGGGTGTCCCGAGGGGACTCCCAAGCCCTCTCCTGCTGCCGGGGGGTTTCTCCAGCCCCCGCGGGAGTGGACTCTGTGCAGCCCCCCTGGGTCTGTGGAGCAGCCCCTGGCATGAAGAGCAGGAGCCAGGTCCAAACTTTCCTGTAAAAATCAGAGTGATCCTCCTCCAGATACAGCTCAAGGCTAGGGAAGTTTTAGGGGCTGAAAATGCCAGGGTAAAATGGGAAAACCTTTTCCAGTGGCAGCTCCAGCCCCACCCCTGGATCTGGAGTTTGGGTGGTGCCAAACGGGACCGTTTGTGCCGCAGGTCCCAAGAAGGTTGTACACAACAGCCGAGCAAGGAAATGGTGCTGGACAGCGATAATTTATTTGGAATTAACTAAACGTTAACTCTGAGGGTGGCCTGAGGCTGGGGTGGGGCTGGGGTGGGAAGGGTGGTGCAGGTTCTGGGCTGAGGGAGACAGGCAGGAGGATGGGTGGGAGCTGGAGTCTGTGTCCAGTCTGGGCCCATGCAGCCAGTGCTGGACTTGCTGAAACCGTGGAGTCTGTCCCTGCTCACCCAGCTCCTTCCTGATGGGGCTGTGTATGGCCACTGTCCCGGAGGGGTTTCTGCCCAGGGAGCTGCAGTCCAACCAGTGCCCCCAGCCAAGGGCCTTGGAGCACTCTGGGCTACTGGAAGGTGTCCCTGTCCGTGGCAGGGGGTGGAACAGGATGAATTTCAGGGTTCTTCCCAGTCCAAGCCAGTCTGTGATTCCATGATTCCATGACCTTGAGGTGCTGTGGCAGTTCAGGGGTGCTGCTGTTGCACCCCTGGTTTTGCAAATCTGCAGCCAGCTCTGGAGGGAGCAGAGACCCTTCCACACATGGCTGGGGCTGGGATCACTCCCCAAACCCACCAGCCTTTGCAGGGACCCCGTGCCCATCTCCAAACAGCCCCATCAGAGGACACCCACCCACCCCACCAGCACACTCAGGGTTGAACTAGTTTGCTTTGAACGCTTCACCCAAAGGAGAGATTCAAAATTAGCAAGTAAGCCCTGGCTCAGAACTGGAATCATCCTGAGGCTCCTGAGGCTCTGCAGGAATTGTCCTGAGGCTCTGCAGGAATTGTCCTGAGGCTCCAGCTGGAATCTTCTGAGGCTCAGCTGGAATCTTCTGAGGCTCATTACTCAGCTCTCCCTATTGGGCTCACGGCTACTCTGCAGGTAAACAAGGGAAAGTGCCTCTTTCTTTGGGGCTCCTCCTTGGAGGAACCTGTGAGTGGATGAACTTTGGTCCAGGAGTTGTCACCTGGAGCCACCTGAGCCACCACTGCCCTGTGTCCCCACTGCCCCATGCACCTTCATAACGGGCTCTTGTCCACCCTCACGTGGTGCTGGGGCAAATGTTGTCCTCTAAACTTGCCAAAAACCAGGACCTCCCCAACTAGTTGGGAGTTGCTCCAGTGCTGGTTTGTCACTGGTGTTACCCCTGCAGGGAGCAGAGCCCTCATTGCACTGAGCTCTGGCCAAGGCACTGGGAGTTTTCCAAGAGAAACCACAGGATGTGGAGGGCACATCCTGACCAACACCAGTGGGATGGGCCAACAGAAACCTCATGAATTCATCCAGGAGAAGGAAAAGTCCTGTCAGGGCTGGGGAACCAGCAGAAGACCACCTGCCTGGGAAAAACAGTTCAGCAAAGTGGGACATGGTGCATGCCAGGCTGACCTTGAGCAGAGGTGTCCCACGGTGCAGCAGGAGCAGCACGGCTGCCAGGTAGAGGAGGGTGATCCCTCCCCTCTGCTCAGCACTGGAGAGGCCACACCTGGAGCTCTGGGTCCAGTGCTGGGCTCCCCAGTTTGAGAGAGACATGGGCATGACATGGACAGACAGTGACAGGATGAGGGGAAATGGCTTTACACTGAAAGGGGAGAGATTTCCATTACATATTGTAAAGAAATTCCTGGCTGGGAGGGTGGGCAGGCCCTGGCACAGGTTGCCCAGAGAAGCTGTGGCTGCCCCTGGATCCCTGGAAGTGTCCAAGGCCAGGTTGGACAGGGCTTGGGAGGAAGCACACCTGGTGGAAGGTGTCCCTGTCCATGGCAGGGAGACTGGACAATCTTTGAAGTCCCTCCCAACCCAAACGAGTCTGTGGTTCTGTGATTTCCAAGTGATATGCTGGAAGAGAGGAGTGCAGTGGCCCAAGGGGCAGTTGCCTAGCTCCATCTGCACTTGCCCATTGGGTTTGCCGTCCATAAGCTGTTGCCATGTCACCAGCAGACATCTGGTCTAGCTTCCCTTTCCAGTCACTGGAGAGAGAACAGAGGTGGACCTTTCTGGGGGATAACTCCTGGCACTCAACTTCACACCTGTTCTGGGATGGGAGAACTCTTTTTGTGGCCGTGCCTCCCTCCCTCAGCCTCTGACCTGCCTTTAACAGCTTGTGAGCCTGGGTCCTGCCAGCTGCCCCAGCACTTTGAGGATCCCCTCCTGGATCTGCTTCACCTTTATGCCATAAATGAGGGGGTTGAGCATGGGAGGGACCGTCAGATACAAGTCAGCCACCAGGACTTGGACGTGAGGGGTCAGGCCAAAAGGGAACATCTGCAGGTACATGGAGAGGAGGCCCCCGACGTAAAAGATCAGGATGATGAAAACGTGGGACCCGCAGGTGGTGAGGGCCTTGGCTCGAGCCTCTTGGGATGGCAGCCTGCCCACGGCCCTGAGGATCATGGTGTAGGAGAAGGCGATGAAGGCAGAGTCCGTGCCCACCAGCAGCGTGGCCACGGCGAGGCTGTAGCGGTGGCCGGGGGCAGGGTCGGCGCAGGCCAGCCCCGCCACGGCCATGTGCTCGCAGTACGAGTGGGGCACCGCCCTGCCCCTGCAGTAGGGCAGCCTGGTGAGCAGGCACATCAGGGGGGCCATGGCAGCAGCTCCCCTGGCCAGGCACAGCAGGCCCATCTGGCCGGCCCTGGCGCCCGTCAGCAGGGTGCTGTACCTCAGGGGGCTGCAGATGGCCACGTAGCGGTCCAGGGACATGGCCAGCAGCACCCCCGACTCCACCGCTGTGGACGTGTGGATGAAGAACATCTGGGTGAAGCAGGCCTCAAAGCCAATCTCCCTGGAACCCCACCAGAACACACCTAGCATTTTGGGGACCACAGCGGTGGAGAAGGTGAGGTCAATGCCAGCCAGCATGGCGATGAAATAGTACATGGGCTCGTGCAGGCTCCTGTCCAGGCTCACGGCCAGCAGCACCAGGCTGTTCCCCAGCACGGCTGTGACGTAGGTGATGCAGAATGGGATGGAAATCCACACGTGGAGAGCTTCCAGGTCAGGGATGCCCGTCAGGAGAAAAGGCCGAGGGTTGGTGTTGGATTGGTTGGGTGTTGACATGGCATGGGGGGCCAGGCTACATCTTTGTCCCCAGCTGCAGCTCCCTGCAACAGTGACAGAAACGTTGGGATTTTGGCTGCCATGGGTGTGACCACAAACCTGTAGCCACAGCAGGCCTCCAACACCACGGAATTTTGTTGTTTATTTTGGGAAATGCTTTCATAACCTGTTATCTACAGCCAGGCTTTTGAATGGTGCTGTGGTCAGCGCCTTCAAGGGGACACATCACTGGACAGTCCTGACTGTCCCATGGGCTGCATGGGGCCACTTTCCCTTCTGCCTCTGCTCCCAGCCCCTCTGATTTCAGGGAGTCATAGAATGGTTTGGGTTGAAAAGGATCTTAAAGCCCACCCAGTGCCACCCCTGCCACGGGCAGGGACACCTTCCACCAGCCCAGGCTGCTCCAAGCCCCATCCAACCTGGCCTTGGACACTCCCAGGGATCCAGGGGCAGCCACAGCTTCTCTGGGCAGCCTGTGCCAGGGCCTGCCCACCCTCCAGATGGTGTTGGGTTGGCAGGAAGGGGCAGCTCTTAGCTTTGGGGAGCTCTGAGCCACCAGTGAGCACCTGAGGGACCCCTGGACAGTCTCCCTTGGTAACATCAAGCACTGTGGATGGGTGAGGGAAAGCCCTGGCTGCCCTCCCACGTCTGAGCCGTCCCCAAGGCTCTCCTGAAGAAGGGCTGGGATTGTCCCCTCATCTCCTGACACAGAAGGGCTGCAGGTCAAGGGGATTCCTGAGACCGAGTGACTTTGCATGAGGGAAAAATCATCTACAAGTGTCCAAGGAGGTCTTTGGCAAGTTCTGCCAGACTTCCACGAGGCCTGGAATGCTGGGGAGCTGCAGGCTCTCCCCCTGGGTTACTGGGGCTGATGTGCTGAGCTGCCAATTGTTCCCCTGACGTCAATGCCCAGCAGAGAGCCCGAGATGTTAATGGCAGATTTGGTCAATAAAGAATTAAAGGATTGGAGCCAAATTAAATTATGGCAATCAGCGAGGCCTGCAGGAAACAGCTCCTGTCAAACAAACCTGATTGCCTTTTCTGGTGAGTGAAGGGTTCAGTTAATCAGTGTGATCAGGGTGTGTGTGAGCACAGCACAGCTGTCAGGGAGAGGCCTCTGCCCCGCTTGGGTGAGGGGCTGGCACAGGGCACCTGGAAATACGAGCATAACTTGGTGGATCAGAGACCTCAAAATGAAGCTGTCAAGGACCATCCCAGAACCACAGAATCCCAGACTGGTTTGGGTTGGGAGGGACCATGAAGCCCACCCAGTGCCACCCCTGCCCTGGGCAGGGACACCTTCCACCAGCCCAGGGTGCTCCAAGCCCCGTCCAACCTGGCCTGGGACACTTCCAGGGATCCAGGGGCAGCCACAGCTTCTCTGGGCAACCTGTTCTTCCTGACATCTCCTGAGGATACCTGTGCCCCACCTGCCTCCTCTCCTCCCTCTGTTCCCGACTGAGCTGCCTCCCTTTACATGATCCAGCCCATTGCACCCAAATTTCACCTACATTTCACCAAATCCTGCCTCCTGGTGACCCCATCTCTGTGCCCTTTCCTTCCAGTCACCTGCTCTTGTGTCAAGGGATTCAGAACATTATTGGTTGAAAATCTACTTTGTATTACAGAAAATGTGTATTTAGCTAATAATTGATTGATTTATACAAACAGAAACAAGTCAATGCTTTTACACCCAAAAATTTGCAGTTTAGCTAAAAGGTTGTTATCTTTTTGTTTACTTTTTTAAACTCAACTCCTATTTTTACCTAAGAAAATACTTTTAAATTTTGCAGCCTTAGTTGTGCAGTTTCATGTAATAAAAAAAAAATAAAAAAAATTCTGTAAAACTACTTTTAAAAAAAAAAAAGAATTCAGCAATTGCCTTTTTTTCCTGACTCACTGACACTGTAAAGCATCTGAGTCGGGTGCTGAAGCCCCCTCAGCCCCCCGTCCTCAGGCCCCTGCCCTGCCACACAGCACCCACCTGGCTGTCCCTGGCAGTGCCACCTCAGGGATGCCCGGAGAGGAAGGTCTCCTGTGCTCCAGGGCTGGGCATAAATCACCTCCGGCAGTGCCGGGGGGACTCTCCTGGCTGGGGATCCCCAGGGGCACGAGGCCTCTGCAGGCTCCTCTGTAACAACGTCAGCGCAGGGCCGGAGGGAAACAGCCCTAATCCCACACCAGTTCTCCCTCTTCTCATTTCTCTAACGAATGGCAGGTGCTGGGAGGTCAAGGAGTCGTGGGAACATGGAATCCTGGAATGGTTTGGGTTGAGAGGGACTTCAGAGACCATCCCATTCCATCCCCTGCCGTGGGCAGGGACACCTTTCAGTAGCCCAGGTTGCCCCAAGTCCCGTCCAACCTGGCCTTGATGAGCAGCCCAGACAGGAAGGTGCTGCATGAGCTGCCTCCAGAAGAATTAAAAGGCCTTTTTTGTGTTTTCCTGGAGCAATGCCGGGGCAGTTTCCTTCCTGGCTCTGCTGTACCAGTGGCTGGAAGCCTCTCCTGCCTCTCATCCCAAGCCATGGAATGGGCTGCTGTGCCTCCACCAGACCCTCCCCAAGGCCTTGGCAGTGTAAAGCCAAAGTGTGCAAATTCAGCATAGAAAATAAATGCAAATTTGGGACAGCAGGAAAATTCTGTCAACTGTTTTTTTTTTTTAGATGTCAGGGAAGTTCCAGCAGAAAGTTGGATAAACACCACAAAGACAGGAAAAGGTATGTCTGAGGTGAAGAATAACAGTATCAATCCAGTTTTGAACTGGAATGCATTTCACTGAGTTTTATTTTTAAATTAATGTGGAAGTGAGGACTAAACATGGCATTTTGGAAGGGATTCATCTGAACACAGTTGCATACACGGTGTTGGTCTGTGATTGGAGCCAGTCCTGAGATCACCTTCATAGCCACAGACACAGTGATTTTAGGGTAGGATTCAGAGAATCATAGAATGGTTTAGGTTGGAAGTGGCTTTGAAGTTCACCCAGTGCCAACCCCTGCCACAGGCAGGGACACCTTCCACCAGCCCAGGGTGCTCCAAGCCCCGTCCAACCTGGCCTTGGACACTTCCAGGGATCCAGGGGCAGCCACAGCTATAACAGGATCTGTGCATTGACACAAATGTAGTTGGACCCCTTGAATTATCACAGGGATGTTCATGCACTGGGAACATCTCCAGACTCGAAGGTGGGTTCTTGCTTCTCTGTCTCATCTGGAAAGGAGGAAGGGAAAGAGGGCCTGGCGTGAACTCTTTCTCCCAGTCCCCAACAACTCTTCTCACAGAGCAGGGTCTCTTTAAAGCCCAGGAGTCCTCCCTCCTCACTGCTCCTGCTCACGGTGGGCACTCCCTGGAGTGCAGCTGGCGCTGCCTTGGCCTGGATGAACGCGCCTGGAAAAGCAGGGACCGCCGTGAGGGGCACGCGCCCCGCGGGGAAGGAGCAGTCTGAGCAGGGCCTGGCGGACGGGCCTGCTCCTCAGGCTGTACACCAGCGGGTTCAGCGTGCTGGGCAGGGTCACGTACAGGTCTGCCAGCAGCACCCGCGCGGGCAGGGACACGGCGCTGCCCAGGTGCTGGGCGTAGATGGAGACGATGCCGGGCAGGTAGAAGAGCAGCACCACGCACAGGTGGCACCCGCACGTGCTCAGGGCCGTCCGGCACGGCCCGTGTCCCAGCGCGGCCCGCAGGATCGCGGCGTAGGACGCGGCGATGCAGGCCCCGTCCGTGCCCACGATCAGGGAGGAGCCGGCCACGCTGTAGAGCCCGGCGGGCGCGGGGTCGGCGCACGCCAGCTTGGCCACGGCCAGGTGCTCGCAGTACGAGTGGGGCACCACGCGGGAGCCGCAGTAGGGCAGGGCCATCACCAGCCCCGTCAGGGGCACCATGAACAGGAGACCCCTCAGCACGACGGCCAGGCCCATCTGGGCGATGGCCCGCACGCTCAGGATGGTCTGGTACCTGAGGGGGTGACAGATGGCAACGTAGCGGTCGACGGCCATGGCCAGGAGCAATCCCGACTCCTCCGAGGTCGCGGAGTGGACGAGGAACATCTGGACAAAGCAGGCCGCGTAGCCAATCTCGGCAGAGTTCAGCCACAGCACGCTCAGCATCTTGGGGACGACGGCCGTCACCATGAGCACATCGATGGCCGCCAGCATGGCCAGGAGCCGATGGGAGGGGGTGCACAGGGACTCGTCCAGCCCAATGACCAGCAAAACTGCCCCATTTCCTACCAGGGCCATGACGTAGGCTAAGCAGAAAAGGACACCCAGGCAGGTGGGGAAAGCTTCCAGGCCAGGGACACCCACCAGGATGAAGGAGGAGGAGCTGCTGTTGAAGGGATCAGGAGCCATGAGGGAGAATCTTGATTTGTATTTAGAAGAAGACACTGCGTTTTCAGCCCTGCGGTGTCAGGGGGATAAGGTGGAGACTCTGCATCAGTGCAAGAGCCAAATCAGGAATGCACACTGTTGTTGCAGTGGGTGAGACAGCATAACATCACCTTTTCCTCCTGGAAAGGGTGGTCAGACCTTGGCAGGGGCTGCCCAGGGAGGTTTGGAGTGCCCAGCCCTGGAGGTGTCCAAGGCAGGCCTGGCCGTGGCACTCAGTGCTCTGGGCTGGGGGACAAGGTGGGGATGGGGCACAGGGGGATCCGTGGGCTGGGAGGGCTTTTCCAGCTGCAGTGATTCCAGGATTCTGTGATTCTATGATCACCTGATAGGAATGGACCAGAAACACTGAATAAATGGGGCTGTTGTGGCTTGGAAGTTGCTACAAGCTGAAGAAGTTCATGTTTGAGGTTGAGCCAGGGATAACCAAGGCACTTTTACAGTCTATTGTTTGTGAAAGGCTTAGTTGCTCACCAGTGCTCAGCTGACATCCCAAAATAAGCTGTGAGAACAAGGAGAGCAAGGTCAGCTTCCAGACCTGGCTTCCCTACATGAGCCCGACATAGGAAGTCCCTCCAGATTTGTAGGGCAAAAAGTGGTCTCAGACAATGCCCTGGGATGTTA